TAAAATTATTTGAAACAATTTTAGTTGTTTGACCTGATTTTTAAATGTTTTTATCACCTGTTTGTTACCACATATTATGAGAAAGTTCAAAGTTTAAGTTAGTCAAGTCTATGATTCTCTTTCATACAAAATATTGACATTAATTTTTCTCATAATAATTATTTTGATTTAAATGTATTGTGAGGCACATTTTCAATGACTCAGTGTGTTCACATATGCACGTAAAATTTGAATTTGGTGTTAGTGAATACAGAATGGGCATTTTAATGCAATGCTGCCTAAATATACTCATATACAAGGACATACATATATCTTTATTAAGTTTATAAGTTTGGTTGGGCACAGTGGCTCATGCTTATACTCCCAACAGTTTGGGAGGCTGAGGTGTTAGGAATGCTTGAGGACAGGAGTTTGAGAACAGCCTGGACAACATAGCAAGACCTTCATCTCCACAAAAAAATTAGGAAGATTAGCTGGGCATGGTGGCACACACCTGTAATTTCAGCTACTTAGGAGGCTGACGTAGGAGGATTGCTTGAGGCCAGAAATTCAAGGCTGCAGTGAGTTATGATTGCACCAGTGCACTCCTGTTGGGTTACACAGTGAGACCCCATCTCTAAAAAAGAAAACAAAGTTTGTAAGTTTAGAAATTACAAACATCGTTGTTTATAACATGGATACAGCATGGGGACACAACAGAGAATATTTTATTTGTATAAAAGTGACAAGAATTTTTATAAAACATTTACATTATATGAGTTCCTTTCAGCTATACAATTTCACTTTTGAATTAAAGTTAACTCAGGAGTGCAAATTCCCCTTGCATTTTGTAGATGCACTGACTTGCTGCTGCTAGTTTATCAGTAAACATTAGTTGGGTGTTGTCACAGTAAATGCAAAAAAAAGTTATCTTTCAGTGTAAGTAGGCCCACTAACAGAGAGAAGAGAAATCAGGTGTCATACTGAAGTATGAAAAAATAAAGGCTTTTGAAAAGTATATAGTAATCCCCTCCTGATCCTCAGAGGATATGTTCCAGGACCTCCAGAGGATATCTGAAACCAAGGATAGTACCAAACCCTATTATATACTATGTCTTTTTCAATTTGATAACCAAAAAGCCTGCCAAGTGACTGATGGGTAGGTAGCATATACAGCATGGATATGTTGGACAAAGGGGATGATTCACAGTGGTGTGGGATCACATGAGATTTCATCGGGCCACTCGGAACTGTGTGCAACTTAAAATTTATGAATTGTTTATGAAATTTTCCATGTAATATTTTTGGCCTGAGATTGACCCTGGGTAAATTAAACCTCAGAAAGTAAGACCACCTATGGGAACTACTGTACTTATCCTTTTTTTTTTTTTTTTTTTTTTTTTTTTTTGAGATGAAGCAGTGTTCTGTCACCCAGACTGGAGTGCAGTGGCATGATCCTGGCTCACTGCAACCTTTACCTCCTGGGTTTAAGTGATTCTTCTGCCTCAGGCTCCTAAGTAGGTGGGACTACAGGTGGGTGCCACCACCCCTGACTAATTTTTTGCATTTTTAGTAGAGATGGGGTTTCACTTTGTAAGCCAGGATGGTCTCGATCTCCTGACCTCAGGTTTTCCACTCGACTCAGCCGCCCAAAGTGCTGGTATGTACTTATCCTTTTAAGAGTGACTCCCTTAAATATTATTTTTAGAGAAATATGCAAATAGCATAATTGAAAATGTTCAATAAAAAGCAATTGGCAAGTAATATAATTTAAAAAGTTTCCATTTTAACTTGTAATATGCACTAAGGTGATATATGATCTTCATCAAGATGAAAACAAATAATGAAAGTTGTTTTTAGGTAATATCAGGTCATACCTCATGGAGATTTTTTTCAAGGAAAAATCTGAGCAGGAAATTATTTTTTTTTAGCTTTAAACACCAATGCAGTGAAATTTATCTCTGCTTATCTAGACTCTGTTCCATTGTAACTCCCCCTTCAAAGTATTTGTCTTTAATTCTTTTATTCCTGTTAATCCAAAATGCAATTTAAAAACCCCACACATCTTGAAATATCAATTCAAAGCAGCATTTACTATCCAGGCACTTAAGTATTTAGCACCTGTAATATGCCTAGTATTAGGCTACACATGCAATGAGATTACTTAAAAATAAAAACTGTACATCATATATTTTGTTTCATAATTAAGACTACGCATAGTACCAATTAAAGAACAGATCATGCCAGGCTTTGTATGCAGACAAAGTGCTGTGGCAATTCTGAGAATCACTGTATTGTTATGGAGTGAGGAAGTTGGGAAAAAACTCGAAGAAGGTAAAGCAAATTAAGAATGCTGTAAATGCCTAAAGTGGATGGTGAGGAGGAAAAGACAGTGCTCAAGTTTAGGGAACAAAGAGTGAAAAGGGTGAGATATTTTAGCCAGGGGAAAATTAATCATCATCCTAAAGCAGATTCATGTGTTTGCAGTAGTGGAGACCAGGCTTTTTTATATCCCCAAGCTTTGCTTTCAAATTCACAACTGTCAAGTTTCAGAGTTTCTCACCTATCTTTATCTTGTTGATGATTTTACTTACAGCATTCTCTTGATCATGCTGTCCTGATTTTACCTTTTTGCATAAGCTTTTCACTCCAGAATCAGAATATCCTTTCTTTTCCTTTTTTAAATTTTTTTGAGATGGAATTTTGCTCTTGTTGCCCAGGCTGGAGTGCAATGGCATAATCTCATTTTACTGCAACCTCCCCCTCCAGGGTTCAAACAATTCTTCTGCCTCAGCCTCCTGAGTAGCTTCGATTACAGAAGCCCACCACCACACCCAGCTAATTTTTTGTATTTTTAGTAGAAACGGGGTTTCACCACATTGGCCAGGCTAGTCTTGAACTTCTAATCTCAGGTGATCCAGCCGCCTCAGCCTCCCAAAGTGCTGGGATTATAGGTATGAGCCACCACACTCGGCCAGAATATCCTTTCTTATATAGTCCTATACACTGAACAGTTCCCCATTCCTGTTTTTTTTTCTTTTCTTTTCTTTTTTTTTTTCTTTCTTTCTTTTTTTTTTTTTTTTTTAGCTACCAGCATTTTTTCTCTTAAGACTATCATCAAAGTTCCAGGAAATGATCCAGGCTTAATGTTGGTGAATGCACTTCAGTCCGCAAATGTTTATTAAGCATTTACTGGGAGACAGACATAGAAACAGATGGAAAAGCCATGGTTCTTGCCCTTCGGAAGCTTTTAGCCAGGGCAAAGGCTCTTTGTTGCCCCTAGTCTGCCAATATTGTTTTCAACTAAAATCGCAATTTTAAGTTTACCAAAATAAGAGAAAATGAAATGATAAATGCTAAGAAAGCTAAAACTCATCAAAAATAAGAAAGAATAGTTTATTTCTGTGAGGCACCTGTGATGAAAGGGTAGCCTGGTAGAGCTCTGTCACTTCAAGTATAACTTTGAACAAGATGATACAGGGAAAGAACAGGGGAACTGATATTTCTTGATTATCTATGATGTGTCCAGAGCTATGACAGGCATTAATTATAGATTATTATTTGAAACTTGTAGAGTACACCATCTCCAAGCCCCCTTAGAAAACCACAATACCACTACTGGAAACAAAAACCAGATTCTTCCTTTTTTAAAAACGATCAAAACTTAGGTGCAGATAGGCTAAGAAACTTGGTGTTTCAGACAGACCTGAGATTTCACCCTAGTCTCAACCCCTTAGCTCTACCACTTACTAGATTTTTTGCTAAGTCATTCATTTATTTATTTAACAGCTAGTATGTCAAGCATGCTGCTTAACACTGGGTTTTAAGGCCATATTGTGGCATGTTCTCTTTCCTCAAAGCTCTTATTGTTCAGTAGAGGCAGACAGATATGTAAGGAAGCCCCTGTCGTTAAGCAATAGACGTAGTTCTGCAGGTCTGTAAAGTGTAGTGTGGGGTACAAATTAGAACCTGATGCATTCTAATCCTGGATTGGCAGTTGGCAGAGGTCAAGAAAGTCCTGGAGATCCACATGGTCACCCACCGAATCAGGTGATCTTGAGAAAGAACAAGACATTCTAACCTGAGGGAGCATTAGGGCCCGAAACAGCTTGGTAAGAAATGAAAGTGTTTCAGGGCTGGCTGGAGTAGACAGCTGCAAGGCGGGGGTACTAATGTCTACTTCACTTGTTAGAGGATTAAAGAGGTAACATACAGAGAGTGCTAACCATAATGTCTGAGACATACTAGGTGCTCAGTCAATGTTTTGTTTCTGCTTCCTTTCAGTTCCTCCATTTGATTATATCATTTTCCACTTCTGAAATTCCATAATTTTTATCACGCTGTATGGGTTCTTATTGTGAATCAGTTCACACACTACTTGGCACACTGTTCACGTTCAGTTAAAAGTCTCTACCACATTTGATAAAAGTCTGGGTAAAACAAGATGTAAATTTTATAAAGGATTGAAGCAAAAGCTGAATTTAACTTCAATCTTTTTTCCTCTCTGTCCCTCTACAGTAGCTTAATCTTTTTGAATGTGTATATGTGTGTCACAGATGTATAGAGCTTCAGTAATAGTTCAACACATTTGGACAGAATTTGAAATGTTTCTAGTAGGATTATTTGCTTCCAAACTGACAAGAGCTGCTTTTCTGTCTCCAGAAGTCTATAAGATCACAACATCAACCATACTGGCAGGAGGAGACTTGAAGGCAACATATCATAATAATGCAACCGTAGAGCTTATCACTTTGTATAAAACTTACAGTCAGCCTTATCTCCACTCTCAATCTGTCTCCAACTCTATTATATGGTACATGCTTGTATCCCCTTCAAAAGTATGTGAACTCTAAAGCCATGACTTGTTTTATTCAACTTATTCATCTGCTCCTAGCTGTCCCAATCCACAGTGCTTTACCCATTTTAGATATTTAGCAAATATTTGTTAAATTTTACAGATATTCAGTTGTTTTCTTTTCTCTGTTCTTGTGCAATGTGGTGGCAGCAGGCGCAGTCTTGAGATGCAGAATGACAGCGAGCTTGTGGACTTGTACATGTGGTGGAAAGGCTCTGCTACTAACCGCATTACCGGTGCCAAGGACCATGCATCCATCCAGATAAACGTGGTGGAGGTCGACAAGGTCACAGGCAGGTTTAACGGCCAGTTTAAAATCTATGCTATCTGCGAAGTCATTCGCAGGGTGGGTGAGTCAGATGACTCCATTCTCTGATTGGCCAAGGCCAGTGGCATCATCTGATAAAAATTTTGACTGGAGATAATCATGGCTATGGAATGTTTGTCATAAACAGTGAAAACCTAAAAAAAAAAAAAATTAAAAAAATTGTAAAATACCTGTTAATCAGAAATTAAACATAATCCCACTTATTATAGTAGAGATCCCTGAGCTGTGGCAGCACACTCAACTAAGATAAACAGATAGAGGGTACAGCAGGAGGTACCTTACTATTCCAGACCCTAGCTATCATTTCATTTATTACGTATTTTCAAAGAGCCTGTATGGTATGGTTAAAAGCATGAGCCATAAAGTCATTCTACCTGTTTTTGAACTCTGTTGAAAGTTGTAAGCCCTGGGCTGTGACCTAATCTTTCCGTGCATCAGTAGTCTTTTCTGCAAAGTAAGAGTAATCATAGAAGCTATCGTACAGTGTTGTCATAAAGATTTACTGAGTTACATGTAAAGCACTTTAGAATAGCACGGGCACATTGCAAGTGCCCAATAAGAATTAGTTCTTATTTTATACACTGCTAAAGTTTTATATAAATGTTAACAGGAGCAAGGTAGTAGCTTGTCTGCAAGAAAGAAACACCAGGCTATAAAGAAGAAGGGGGATGAGAACATAACCAGAAATGTGTCTGTAATCCTACTCTAGGACAAATATTTCTCTAGGGAGAAAGCTACCCTGTCATGAGGTGTGAGGACAAGGTGCAGCACTCCCCTATCCCTCAACCCATTTGTTGGGTAAGGACAAAAGCGCGGTGATGAAGGTGCCTATATCCTGCAGTCTTTTTTAAAGGCATGGTCAAAACTCTATCACAGAATTTTATTTCATGTCAAATGAGTCATATTTCCTATGAAGAATATTTGTGAGTATCTTGGTATTTTGAACTATTAGATCAGATTAATTTTTTTAGGTATATATGAATTTTTAGAAGGTATGGTGATAATATTGAGTGGTTTTAACAGAGGATTTAAATATCACTGATATTTTAAAAATATTTGTTGGCCGAGTGTGGTGGCTTACACTTGTAATCCCAGCACTTTAGGAGGCCGAGGCAGGTGGATCACGAGGTCAGGAGATCGAGACCATCCTGGCCAACATGGTGAAACCCTGTCTCTACTAAAAATATAAAAACATTAGCAGGCTGTGGTGGCACACACCTGTAGTCCCAGCTACTTGGGAGGCTGAGGCAGGAGAATTGCTTGAACCCAGGAGGTGGAGATTGCAGTGAGCCAAGATCGAACCACCGCACTACAGCCTGGGCGACAGTGCGAGACTCCATCTCAAAAAACAAAAACAAAAGGCCAGGCGCAGTGGCTCATGCTTGGAATCCCAGCACTTTGGGAGGCCGAGGTGGGTGGATCACCTGAGGTCAGGAGTTCAAGATCAACCTGGCTAACATGGAGAAACCCTGTCTCTAAAACAAAAACAAAAACAAAAACGAGCAAAAACAAAAATTTCTTTTAATAATGGAGTCATATATGTTCTTTTAATAGACCTTAAAACTTTTACTTTTTTTTAAAACGAAGACATGAACATTTAACTTGGTATAATGTAATAATGTTAGGCAGAAAATATATTCTTTTAAAAAAGTGAAAAAAAAAATGTTTTGTTGAGACAGTCTCACTGTGTTGCTCAGGCTTGTCTCAAATTTCTGGCCTCGAATGATCCTCCTGCCTCTGCCTCCCTAAGTGCTGGGATTATAGGTGTGAACCATCATGCCTGGCTGAGGAAAAATAATTATTCTTAACAGTAAATGTTAAGTGAGGCTAATGATGATAGAAGATATGTTATCAAAGGAAAACACTGACTTATGAGGAAAAATGATTAATCAGGTATTGGGACAGATGACTTATGAAGGTCACTGTGCCAGCAGAATAAGCCTTTTGGGATACGCACATTTATTTAATCTGTGTCAGTCTTTCTCACTCCTCATAAGTTTTTGAGAAACACTTTCATGCAAAACACATGAGGGTTAGGTTACATTTTTCCAGTAGAAGACAAAATGTAACTATCATTTTCCCTTTCCTCATTGTCAAAATTCTTCCTGTTTAAGGATCTCAGAATCCTGTAGCTAGCTAGAATGATGTATTGACTTTATCGGAAATGTGTAATGTGAAATGTCTAAAGTGAAGCAGTCTGTTTTAAAAAGAGTCTTCATTATGTGGCAACTTTCCAATGATTTTTATAGTTGTACAGTTATAAATATTTAAGATTGATATATCTATAACAAATTGAAATAAAATTATAATTATTTTACTTTTATTAAACTATTCTATATCTGTGTTTTGATTGTAAGTCACCTCAAAGCTATTGTTTAAGATGGTCAGAATCTAACTATCTACTTTTATTGTTTTTGGTATAGATTTCATTTTCCAACAGGAAGCCAAATTGGATGTTCTTCCATGGTCTAATAATGAGTGTAAAACTAGAAGATGGTGCTTTTGTGTCAGTGAACAAACACATCGAGGAGCTGGGAGGGTGGTGCACCCTGAGAGGGCATGGATGCTTTGTGCACTGCCACTTCCCATACCTTACCCTATCCATCTCATCCAGGCAGTTCCTGGATGTATATCTTTTATACAGTTCCTGAGCTGTATATCTTTTATAATAAACCAGAAAACTGGATATGATGTGGGATAGTGACACAGTAATAATGTCATCATTTCTGATGATCTGAGAATGCCCAGTGTGGAAGTATCAAACAAAAGCTGAAAGAATGCACCAAAAGATTAGTTGGTGCACTGGGCTCACCTTGGTTCACCTGGTCACTACAACTGAGAGGTGGCTGGAAACATGTAAAGAATGGCATGTGGACAAGTGCAAAAAAAAAAAAAAATCTCTTTGCCAACAAGAAAGGGTACAACTGTTTATAGAATTTCGAATTTGGGCTGTAAGTAAGAGAAACAGCAGCTATGTCTCCACCAACACAGTGCCACAAGGGAGTTTTCCTGGATATACACATTGGAAACATTTCCTTTTTCAACATTAGCAATGGTGCAATGGTGTGTTCTTGGCTCCCTGCAACCTCCACCTTCTGGGCTTAAGTGATCCATTTCAGCCTCTCGAGTAGCTGGAACTACAGGTATGCACCACCATACTCAGCTAATTTTTATTTTTTTTATAGAGATGGGTTTCATTATATTGCCCAGGCTGGTCTTGAACTCCTGGGCTCAAGCAATCCTTCTGCCTTCACCTCCCAAAGTGCTGGGATTACAGGCGTAAGATACTAGGCCTGGCCTTCCCACATCTTTGTATTCACTAAAATTTCTGCTTCAGAACCACTGAGCCCATTCTTTTTGCCTTCAAATTCAAATAACGTTGATTAGGGCACTCTGAGTATGTGTACTGTGATGCAGCTAGGTTCAGTAATCCTTCCTGTACATGTTGGAGAAAATCAGCAAACTGTAACCACACACTCACTCACCCACACACAAGAATATTTGGAAAAGATATATTTACTTACAGTACAGAAATACCCTGCTATGTTGAGTCATTAAAAATGTTAGAGGTAAAAAATATATGGAACCTCTTAAAATCATAAGCACAGATTTTAATAGTCTACTATTCATTAGGAAAGATACTACATGTTTAGTATTGTATGTTGATACAAAATTTGCTTTGGGGTCTGGAATTTGACTTCCGCAATTATCTCTTGAACTTTCAGATCACGTCACAGTATTTAGTATGTTCTAAGCACTAGCTAGTGTATTACAAAGGTTTTTAATTCAAGAAAAGTATTTTATTATGTCCAGGAATTGCATGATTCATTAAAATGAAAGTCTTTACAGTGCTTAATCTACTATAAGCCAGTAAATAAATTTAATGTATAAGAATGAGAAATTAATATATGCCTATAAAATTTTCTGAAAAAAATCTGAATTTCTGCTCGTTATAGTCTGCCCTTAATGTCTCAATTTCTGCCTAAAAATTGATTTCAGGTTAACATATTCTTATTTCAAAAATTTGCTAGGAGAATATGATTTAACAATAGATGCCAACATCTTTTGGTAGTAAAAGTGTTGTAAATGTTTGGTCTTCTTGTTACTAGTAACATAGTAATCCCCCATCCCCACGGTTTCTCTTTCCTCAGTTTCAGTTATCCGTGGTCAACTGTGGTCTAAAAATACTAAATGGAAAATTCCAGAAAAATCAATTGGTAAATTTCAAATTGCACGCTGTTCTGTGTAGCTCCACTGGTAGGTGAATCATCCCTTTGCCCAGTATGTCTATGCTGTCTACACTATCTGCCTGTTAGTCACTTAGTAGCCTTCTCAGTTTTCAGATCCACTGTCACAGTGCTTGTGTTCAAGGAACCCTTATTTTATTTACTAATTGCTCCAAATGCAAGCGTAATGATGCTGGCAATTCAAATACGCCAAAGAGAAGCCATAAAGTGCTTTCCTTAAATAAAAAGGTGAGGTTTTCAACTTAACTTAAAAAAAAAAAATCATATGCTGTGATTGCTAAGCTCTGTAGTAAAAATGAATCTTCCATCCATAAAATTGTTATAATTTTTTACTTATTGTTAACTTTTTACTGTACCTAATGTATACACTAAACCTTATCAAAGATACATATACACACACACACACACACACATATATATATATAAAAATTATATATATATGGTTTGGTTACTATCCTCACTTTCATGTCCCCTGGGAGTCTTGGAATGTATCTTTCCTGGATAAGGGCAATAGGGCAGACAACTCTACAATATTTTTGCTTTTTTGAGACAGGGTCTTGCTTTTTCACCCAGGCTTGAGTGCTGGCATGCAGTGGTGTGATCACAGCTCACTGCAGTTCAACCTCCTGAGCTCAAATGATCCTCCTGCCTAAGCCTCCAAAGTAGCTGGGACCATAGGTGTGCACTACCACCCCTTGCTAATGTTTTGATTTTTAGTAGTCTTCGTATTTTTAAGTTATATGCTTGTTATTGGCTGTTACAAAATATTGTGACATTAATATTCTATGAAGTTGGGAGGAT